ATAAGTACAAATAAGTCTTTACTTCTATTGCTCTTTCTGACAATGTCCTTAGGATGTAGATGGCATTGTTTGTACCCTTTCCTTCTACAAATCCACATTGTTCATCACTGATTTATGGTTTAATTTTGTTTCTTATTCTTCTCCTAATTATTCTCAGTAAAATCTTAGTTGTGTGATTCATAAGATTTATTCTGCAATGGTCTTCACATTTTAAAGTGCCTGGTTTCTTTTGCAGAGTTATAAATATGGATTTTAAACGGTCTTTTGGAATATACCCACTATTGTGAATATTTAAAAGTTGTATTATTTTAATTCCAAAATCTACCAGTGCTTCGATTTCTTCCAGTGAGATGTCTGGCCTGGGTGCTATTCCTTTCCTTATATGAATAAATGCATCCTTGACTTCTGCAGTCATTATTGGAGGACCATCATTGTTGGTCTGCAGTTCTACATCTGATCTATTATCATCATACAATTCCCATATATACTCTGTCCATCTGTTAATTATACTACTATGTCCCATTAATAAGTCACCATCTTTTGATTGTAAACATCCAGTGCTGTTACGTGTCATCTTTCCTGTTAACATATGTTTCTGTTGGTACATGGAATGTGAGTCTTTCCTGTGATTTCCCCAACCTCTGTATACATTTGATTCAGGAAGGCTTCTTTAGCCACTTTGCATTTGTTCCCTATTTTTTTTTGAATTCTAGAGTATTCTTCTTTATCATTCTTTTTCTTCCTTCTTTCATCCATCAACTGCAGAATTGTGGTTGATATCCATTTCTTTTTTGCAGCTCTATGGGTTGGTAGGATTATCTCTTTTGATGTCTGCTGAATTGACTCACGCAACATATCCCACTGTTCATATATAGTCTGTATAAGTTCCATTGCATTATACCAGTTTTGTACAGTGAAATTGTACTGTTCCTTTATTTCTTTATCCGTTCTAAGAATTCTTAAATTTAACTTGATGTCCTGTGGTGTTTTCTTAGCATTCTTTAATCTTATTCTAATCCTTCCTGTAACTGGAACATGGTCACTAAAGCAGTCTTCTACTGGTCTAGTTTTTGCTCCAAGGAAGCTGCTCCCCAATCTTCTTGAAATCATAATATAATTAATCTGATTACGGACATTATCGCCAGAACTTTTCCAAGTCCACAATCTTCAAGAATGGTGTTTAAACCAGGTGTTATCTATTATCATGCTGTGCGACTCAGCCCATGCTTTTAATCTGTCACCTCTCACATTCTTTTCTCCTAGGCCATAGCCACCCATTATTCTATACACTTTTTCACTTCCTGTTTTCACGTTGAAATCTCCAGGTACCATTGTTACTTCACAATTTTTGCATTTATCAACAGCCGTGTCTAAATGGTCATAACATGCATCAGTATCTTCCTCTGAACTATCTGCTGTTGGGGCATAAATCTGTACTAAGTTAATGTCAAACAGTCTGCCTTGAAATTTTAATAATAGTACTCTGTTAGATGGAGTCGCTGTGGTGGAGCCACTAGACACTTGCCGCAGATCTGAAGGTTGTGGGTTCGCTTCCTGACTGTGACGTGACGCGTGGTTTAAATGTTTATGTTGTTGAGTAGGGATCTTCCTTTCAACACATTCTCTCCACTAGATACACCGAACTAAATCTGAGCTATGTTGCTCTCAGACAAAGTCCTGGATATCCAAGAAAACAGCCATATTGGCTCGTTAAGTATATTAACATTAGCTGAACTTGGTACCCACAAGAGAAGGCAAGGAATTTTAGATGTCTATCATACTTAATGTTAATGAATTATTAGACAGGGCAAGTGATTCCTCCGTCATCTACCTTCTCCCGGTGTTATTATTAATAATTAAAGAATTATTATATTATTTATTGAGCCCCCACCAAATGTTATTCTATCCTAACAGTTTAATTAAACATGTAAGAACAGATATTTGGAATTTAACAAACTATGTAGTTTAAAACTTGACATACAGCTTTATTTACTACAATGAAATTCCCAGTTTGTTGATTTACACAAACAGTGACTGGTTAATGAAAGTACTACGCTTCAGCGAGACAAACAGCTCGGGGTTTAGAGTGGTATGATAATGATGATAAAAGGTTAACATAAAGGGGTTAACTCAACTTATAAGCCTCTGACAGCCGTGAGGAACTGTCAAGCTTGTCCAACTCTTCCTTGCCTGTTGTCTGCGTGTTTCAGCTTATTCTCCACTTCATCCCCACCTCGTTCTCCACCTCGTTCTCCACCTCGTTCTCCACCTCGTTCCCAGCTGGCCGAGTCTAACACAATGTAGGCTACTTCATGGACTGATCGTCACATGGGCGCTGTAATCATGGAAACAAAACACATACGTGTAGTATCTTGACTTACACTAAGAATACATGTATCAATTAATACAACATATAATAATAAGATATAGCCCATCACTCCTCCTCATATTCCACATCCTCTCCAGTCTAGTCTGAAGGTCTTTTGTCTTACATGGGCGTCACATATCCTGCCTTCCCTCAAATGCTATGTCATGATAGTTGACTTTCTAAGTCTGTTGTCCGTCTTCACTCAGACTTCGAGTTGGCTGACATAGATTTGACATAAACATGTGGCGCAGGTTATGTGCTGAACCCGCAAACAATTTATATGTGCACGCTGTCCTGAATATTAGCTTTCAGTGACCGTGAATACTGTACACCCATCATCCTTCCCCTGGGGTTATAAATCCCCTGTTTAGTTGAACACATTAAGTGAGCACATGGTGGGCACACAAAACGTAGCAGCATCCCTGCACATATTTGGGCATCATTTCCCACAGTCAACTCATATTTTGGCTGATCGTGAAAACAATATAATTACATTTCATTATAGCAAATGTCATTGTTCACATCTTATTTTATACACATGAAAACATACAATGAAAAACATGTGACACAAACATACAGGAAATAGGAATAGTTTAGCATTTCCTTAACTTGAGATACTGAATACTCACAGAACTATTTCAAGCAGAATGTGCAGACAAATTAGGAAAAGGTAGTATAGACTAAGCTTAACTCCCTAACCTAAGTATACAAGATTAAAATTAATATTTTCTCTTACCTGGGAACTTCCCATTTATCGCCAAACCAGAGTACGACAGTAAAATATACCTTTACGTCGACCTGTTTGTTTGC